CTCAGTGTCACCTCCCTGTCCCCTGATCACCTCTTGTCCCCTCTGCATCTCCATGGCCCCTTCCACATCCCCATGTCTCCCCCAGTGTCCCTTCTGCGTCCCCAAATGTCCCCTCTCTGTCCCCAAAATCCTTCTATGTCCCCCATTGTCTCCTCCAGGTCCCCAGATGTCACCTCCCTGCCCCCCAATGGCCCTGTGGCTCTCCACGTCCCCTCTGCATTTCCACCCCCCCTCCCCCATGTCCCCACATCTCCCCCAGTGTCCCCAAATGCCCCCAGGTCTCCTCCATGTCCCCAAATGTCACCTTCCTGTCTCTCAATGTCACCCCCCTGCCCCCCCCAATGGTCCCACAGCTCTCTGTGTCCCCTGCACATCCCCATGCTCTTCTCCACGTCCCCAAATCCTTCTGTGTCCCCCAGTGCCCCCCCCCCGTCCCCAAACATCCCCTCCATGTCCCCACGTCCCACTACGGCCCCCAGTGTCCCCTCCACATTCCCCTCTATGTCCCCAATGCCTTCCCCTGTCCCCACATCACCTCGATGCCCCCACGCCCCTCTGCCCCCCCCCCCCCCAACCTCCTGTGTCCCCAGTGCCCCCAAATGTCCCCCAATGTCCCCAGTGCCCCCTCACCTAGCAAACGCGCTCCTGGATGCGGGCAAACAGAAAGCAAACCATCAGTGGGGTGGATTTGGGGGTCCCAGGGTGGGATTTGGGGTCCCAGGGTGGGATTGGGGTTGGAGGACAGGATGTAGGGGGGTCACAGGGTGGGATTTGGGGGCTCTGGGGGGAGAACTGGAGTTGGAGGACGGGATATGGGGCTCCCAGGGTGGAATATGGGGTCCCAGGGCAGGATTTGGGGACTCCAGATTGGAATTAGGATTGGAAAAGGGGATTTGGGGTCCCAGGATGGAATTTGGGGTCCCCAGGGTGGGATCTGTGGTACTAGCGAGTGTTTAGGGGTCCGCAGGGTGGGATCTGGTTCTTTTAGGGTGGGATTTGAAGCCCCTGGGGTTGGATTTGTGGTACTGGGAGGTGTTTTAGTGTTCCCAGGGTGGGATTTGGGGGGCACAGTGTTGGATTTGTGGTAATGGGGGAAGTTTTGGGGTCCCGATGGTGGGATGTGGGGTTCTCAGAGTTGGATTTATGGTACTGGAGGTTTTGGGGGGCACAGGGTGAGATTTATTCAATTTAAGGCAAGAGTTGGGAACCCCAGGGTGGGATTTGGGCCTCCCAGGTGGGATTTGAAGCCCCCAGGGTGGGACCTGTGGTACTGAGGGGTGTTTTGGGGTCCCCAGGGTGAGATGTGGGGTTTCCAGGGTTGGATTTGTGGTATTGGGGGATGTTTTGGGGTCCCCAGGGTGGGATCTGTGGTACTAGTAAATGTTTTGGGGTCCCCAGGGTGGGATGTGGAGTTCCCAGAGTTGGATTTGTGGTACTGGGGGATGTTTTGGGGTCCCCAGGGTGGGATTTGGGGGGCACAGGTGGGATTTGAAGCCCCCAGGGTGGGACCTGTGGTAGTGGGGGATATTTTGGGGTCCCCAGGAGGGTTTTGGGGTGCTGACCGTGGCAGGGCGTGCGCGCCGTAGAGCGGCAGGAGGCAGGAGAAGAGGAAGGGCGCCAGGCAGGTGGACACCAGCAGGCACAGCAGCGCCAGCCCCAGGCTGCGCAGCGCCTTGCGTGCCCACACCACGCTCTGGGGGGGGCACGGGGGGGTCAGGGACACACCGACATCCCCCCCAAGCCCCCCTCCATCTCCCCATAATCCCCCCAGGTCCCCAAACCCCTCCTCAAGGTCCCCAACATCCCCCCACCCCCATTATCCCCGCACACCCCAAATCCCCAGCGCCCTCTGCCTC